CAATCTCCGATGTCCAACGGTAGTGCAAATCAAATATTAATTAATTGATTGAATGTTTCGATCATTTTAACTCTCACACATCACACAATTTTAGTTGTTTGCATGGCTGTGTTTCGGTTTGAAGGGTGGGATATGGCGTGAATTTACAGGGTACAGAGGAATAACACCTGAGTCCTCAGGAATGGCAACGCATGGGGGGTATCATGGGCGAAACAGTATACTCTGTTATGTCCACGGCACTACTCATATTTATAGACGACGGTTACCACTTTCCATCAGGTGGATAGTCAGCTTATTGCTATTCTAAGTTGCATAAAAAAAAAAAAAAATTATTACTTTTTCCAAAAGTTCTATTGAAACAGAGTGTAAAAAATTGAAGCATTTTCGATTAACACGAATCTACTTTTCCTTTTGTTTTGTTCCTTGACAAAAAAAAAATCGAAAATTAAATAATGCAACAAAGTCAAACACGGTGGTATATAAACATCACTTTGATTGACATTGTTTGGAATAGGTACGTAGATAGCTATAAAGTTTTTGTTGATGTTGGACATTAATGGCACAGGAAATGTGGCATATCTGTCAGTTATTTGGCGGCCTTCATAATACGGAGACCCATAAATATCATATTTCTTGATTTCATTGCTTTCAAAATTTCATAATAAGAAAAAAATTATACTTTGTGCAATTTATTTATGTTAGTTTCTCATTTTTTAATTAGTTTACAGTTTAAACATTATTTACACACACACACACACACACACACACACACACACACGCACGCACGCACGCACGCACGCATGCACGCACGCACTCACGCACTCACGCACTCACGCACACACGCACGCACGCACTCATGCACACACACATATATATAAAATTACAGTCGAAAGTAAACAACAACAGTAATTTCACTGTTGTGTTTTACCTTATTGCCTTTTTTTCATAACAAGATATAAGTGCCGTAATAAACGTAGAAGAGTTATCGAAAGTATTTATGTTCCGTTAAACTACTTGGTAAATTACTTTTACCTTTTTCAATAGTCCTTGTAATTTTCTAAATCCTGAATATTTGATATCCTATATAATAAATATGCCTAAAATAAAATAATATATATTGTACAAATTCTTTTTTTATACTACTAAATTTTTACATTTCTGACATTGTTATTTATTTCATTTCTATTATCAGTCTCTTTGTTTTGGAATAAAATTAATTATTTTTCTTCCTACTCTTCTTATATAATACAAGCATTATTCGTCATGAGATTTATAAGATTAACTCGGTTTCCCTAGGGACTTGTACGGGAATTGCCGCTCATTGTCTCAATGTGGTTGCTATAGATTCTTGGAAGACAGTGGAGAGATTATCATTGTAATTGGATAAATTCAATCATTGAATAATTGACGTGCATGCAGCGAGCTTAACAATGATAGTAGGCAATCCGTTAACAGCATTATAAATAAATTGTTACATGATTACTTACAAATATGACTCTACTCAATATAATTAAAGAGCTGACATTTAAAACAATAATTACGGTTCTTCTGTATGAAATCTGATGAAATTTATACTGGGAAATAACAGAGAAACATACTCGCTTATAAAACCAATTTTTAAAATAACATATTTGGTGGTAATATCCAGCAATACAAATGGAATTTACTAAATTCCAAACATTCTTCTCTTTTCAAGTTTTATTGACATAAATAAAATTTTCATTTCTGTATATTCCTCCTATAAGAGATAAAAGAAAAATAAAAAAAAACTGTATTGATGGTATAAAAGCAATATTATTAAAACATTTAATACATACAAAGGCTTTCTTAAGACGAAGGTGTGGTTTATGCTGGGTAATACTCAGCCAGCTGACAAACCCTTTTTAAAAGTTTCTATTACACTTGAAAGGTACTCTCAAGTGAAATAAAAACTTCTATCTACTTGTTATATGTTTCGGGAAAAACTTAGAAATAATTTTCGATAATAGTGTTCTGTATGATTAAATTCAATTCACATCCAATAAAAATCTCCAACATCAGTGAATTTATTAAAGTGGATAGATGGAAAATGTAAAGTATGAAAGAGGATGGATATAAAGGACGGGAACGCCCGTGGATGGACTATGTGAAAGATGATATGCATAAAAGTGGACTTAGCCCAGAAATAACAGTTGACATAGATTTGTGGAAGAAAGAGACATAATGCGTCGACCCCAAATAAATGAAACAAGACAAGGCAATGATGATGATCAGAGAATGTATGTTTGTACTGGTCTAATTGTTTACTCTACATTATAGTTTTACTACTGTTCTAGCAACTTCATGTGATCTCGTGCGTCCTTTCTCATCCGAAATAATTAAATAAATAACACACATAAATAAAATATTTCTATGCTAATTTTCATATTTGAACCGTTAGATCACTAACAGATAATAAAAATCTAGTAAATCCACTTATATATTTATTACGTTTATAAGCTCATAATATGAAGTATGTCCTTCAATGCTACAGTATTAATAATAAATACAAAGCTTTTTAAGTTTCAAACTAAACGGTTCCATATGATGTATTCATGGATATCTATTTATTTAATCAGTTCCATTTAAAATTATTGATTTCTCTTGGATGCCATAAGAGGCGATTAAGGGCACTTAATGAGCAAGAGATAGCCAACAGCGTCTCTTTTAAAACATCCATAACCTAACTGCGGTTGTCAACCTGCCTGCCAAGCATGGTAACCACTGTCAACTCCTCTCCCCCTCCCCAGCCCAAAAGAGAATCGGAATATGTTCAGCAATGGCTATTAAACGGCTGATATGGTATAGTATGTTGAGATATTGGAAGATGACATACCTATATACGATAATAGCCTACTGACAAGTAGGCTAGAATGAATAGTGATTATAGCACCTATAGACCTATAAAGGTCATCGAATATGCGTATAGGAATACATATATAGAGATATAACATACAGAAACTACACTTATAAATATAATTTGTATCTTTTTAATATTTAAAAACACAAACTTATTTATGAAAACTAATTCCATTGTTTATATACCTCTAGACAAAAGTATATTTGAATATTTTTTTTTTTATGTAATACAGAAGGAAAACTACCTCACCTACCTACCTACCTACTATTAAATAATTGACTATCATCACCCATGAGCAATCGCAACACCTTAAGTATTGTTGGTACGATACCGGCCTGTTAAAAGGAATACGATTTTTTCTTGAAGGTTACGATCTTGTATCGGATCCAAAATGCTGCTGCTGGTAGTTGATTCTAAACCGTGGTTATGCTTAAAAGTAAGTTCATTGAAAAACAGGCGATAGAAGACCAACATTCATCAAAATGGTTGGGATCTTTAGTTTGTAGCAGGCTGTACGATGCTCAAAAACAGATATATATCCGAATAATTCCTACAAATATTTACTTATATTCGTGTTTCCTTTATTTTTTATTCACTCCATCTATAATTCATAATTATCTCTAATGAGTGCTACTTCTAATATTAATATAAGTCAATAAAAATGGACAATTGCGGACTATTTTGTCGACTAGTGGGGGGTAATTGCGCCACGATAAACAAACCAACCTGACTTCATCTTCGTGTATCATATATCTCATTGGTACCCTGTATATACAGGGTTTACTAATACATTTCCATTCTATTCTAAAAATACTATAGAAACTCTGTTAGATACATATAAGAATATACTGTAAATGTAACCAAAATATTATGTATTCGTTAAAAGGACCCGTATCAAACGACAGAGATCTGAAATAGAGATTACAGCAACGGAAGTTTATATAATGCTCTAAGAAAACTCGTCGAGAAGGTCAAAGGGTACATAGCAACTATCATGAACCGTCTGACATACAAATAAAATCAGCAAACGTCGAACATCTACTGAATTAAGATTCTAATAGTTTTTGGGAACTATAGGAACCTGAAATCTTCTACACTATACTTTTATGTAATTTAAATATTAATTATTTAAGATTTAGCTCTATAGAAAACTGTTTTAACTGAGATAAAAACCATGGGTTTAGAATATCAAAGTTGGTTCAGAATTGCCAAAGATATTGCGTAATCCCCCGGAATGATAATGTATGATGAGTCAAGATATATTCTATCATGTCCAGAATACTATACTTGTCTATAGGCAATGGTTACCACTTTTTTGTGAGTACCGTCAGCTGGGTTGCTATTTCAAGTTGCATACAAAAAACATAAAAGTAAAACATACAGGCGAATCGAATACCTTCTCATTCTTTAAATTTAAAACTAACTTTATCTTTTAAAAGTCTGTTGAAAAGATTACTACAAGGTATTGAAATAGCTACAAAAAGTTCAATCAGGTATATGGATTTAAATTTTAAATAATGTGATAAACCAAATGTCACATTAATGACTACATTATACTACTTCTATATGGGATGTGATAAATAATAATAATAATGATATATACCAAAACTAATAATGTTGTAGCGATGCCAAATAAAATAAACCAGCCATATAGCTTATTTTACGGACCATTAACCGTTTTTATGAACTGTATAATTGATCTACACAAAAACTGGAACAGGTGCAACTTTATAAATTTTATAAACTAATATTATTATACTATATAGTATTTTTAACGAGCAATATTAAAGTGGAGATTTTTGTAAAATAAAACACTTTGTAAAACACCTAAATTTAATATTTTTAAGTAAATTAAAAATATAATAAATTATTTCTTAGGAATAAACTTTAGTATCTTAGTTATTAAAAAACTTTACTTGCGTGTTTAGTTAATAATGATTATGTATATATTAACCTCTTAAAAAGACTCGTATAACACGATATTTAATAAATATTAACAGTATATTAAAAGCTTTTAATTTGTTTTAAACATGTCATTAATTTATTTCTCTATAAACTTCTCAACAAATTAAATGAAGTAGTAAAAAAATTTTAATTTCTTATAAGTTAAAAAAATACTTACATTTTCAAAAAGTTCTATAATAATCTCTTGCTTAAAAATAGCTGTCAGCAATTATTTAATAGTTTACATAAATTTATTATCCAGCACTTCCAAAGTAACTAAAATCACCATAGTTCACACACAGGCTATCTTACTACCGAAGCAAAAGTTAGTTTCACTTTAAAAAGTTTCAAATATATATAAATTTAAGTTACACCAAAGATTTTTGTGCAGTCGCACATAACTTTAATAAATTGTGAAAATCGTAACAGCGATCTCGTGTGATACGAGTATTAACGAACTGCACTATTTTATACCGGTACTGTATTCGGACGAGTGTCAGAACATACTGATATTTATTTGTTAGGGTTGCCACTAGAGCGCATGCGTCAAACCCGGTGACAGTTTTAAGGGATGCGGCGTGATGCTGAACTTTATGGAAGACTATGAAATTTTATTTGAAAGGAAATGGATTCTGTTTATTCAAATACATGCCCAAAATAAGTAGGCCGACTGATTTTGTGAGACTGAATTATATGGATGTACAACTCAACGTACTTTTACACCTGTTTTGAATAAAAAGTTATAATAAAATTCAACTTATACTTAAACAGCAATTGTTTCGTATTTCATGTGTTTAACTTACAGATACATATTTCAGATATCGGTGTAGTAGTATGGTAGTATCTGTACACAATACATACTATCGAGAATATCTTAATACTCGTAGTATCTGAAACTCCTACTGGACTACAAAACAATATGTGGCAACCCTACACCCTACTAATATCATAAATGTGAAAGTTTGTAAAAATGTTTGTTTAGATGAATTTTCATACACGAATATGTTATATCCTAACAAATAGAATATTTTATGTCTCGATACATGCAGGCAAAGCCATGGGAATCGACTATATTTTTATACCACGAAGGCGGCAAACAAGCATACAGCCCCGTATGATGATACACTATCACTGTAAGCTATGAATGCCTGCAACACTAGTGACATCACGTGCGTGTTGGCGACTCTGAAGAAATCTCAATATATCCTTTTTGTAAAACCTCGTATAGTAGTTTCTAGGGAAAACCTGAGTTTGGAGCTCATTCCACTGCCTGAGCTTCCGCAAGAGGAAACTTCTCTGCGACTGCACTGTACACGATTATTTAGGTTCTAGCGTAAAGATAAATAATGGATCATCATCATCAGTTAACAGTCCACTGTTGTACATAAATAAAGGTCTATACAGCAGTGCCAGAAAAGCCGATAAAATGGAGTTTTGTTAAGAGTTGCTACGCTTGGCAGGCGGGTGTGCAACCCTAGTAAGCCTTTGGTGTTTTAAGAGAGACGCTGCTATCCAGTCTTCGAGCATTAGGTGGAGAGATGGTCTTGGTAAAAAATAATAATAGATACAATGTATAAATAATAACGCATAGATTAAAAAAAAATAGTAACGGCATACACTATTAGCCCAAATAACACGCTGAAAGATAGATATGGGTTATCTCAAGGAATCCGGTTGCCAGGACTTGAATTTTTTAATCTATTATTTAGAATTTCTTCAAATGCAATACAGTAAACCCAAATGCAGTGTTACGCATTTTCAAATAAAGATGTAATGAAAAAATGCACTTATATGGTGAGTGTGTGTCCTACGCAAACTAGGACAAAGAACCCTTTTCACTTCTTTACGTGACAAGGCAAAGAGTTGTATATACATATAAGACTATGTACTAAACTTCTAAAAATGAACTACCTTTTGGACTAATTCCATTAAACCATATATTATAAAATAACTATATACATATTAAAGTTATGTGATGAATTTATGGTTTATCCTAATTTGGAATTTGAATTTAGAATTTAAACCTCTATAAATAGTTTGCCACGGTTTATTACACGTGAATTTGATAAATTATGAGTACTTGGTGACGCCAGTTTAAAATTAAAAACATAATTATATTAATATTTGTACCTTCTCGCTTTTCGTTATATAATAAGGGATAGGTACTTTGCATGTTCACAATTTTAGTACTAATCTGTGGGCTATGGTCTGATTGTGTCCAATCTTCGTCGGTGCTGCCCTCACGCGCCGATCGGTTCTCCTGTTTCGAACTTCGCATGAGTGACCGTGACTGGTCTTACAAATTAATTAAAATAATTATGTTTTTAATTTCAAACAGACGTCATCAGTACTTCTTACTTCACAACTGGTAAACGTACGTAATTCATATATTTTTTTAACACAATACATATGTTAAGATACCGGAATCAATACAAACAGATAATCAAATATTTGCATTGTACTGGAATCGTATCCATAACTACTGGAAAATGGAGCTATTCAATTTCCAATAGTTAAGGTTATCAAATTCAAATCACGTAATCATGTAAATTTTAGACAGTTGGCAGTAAAATAAAAATAACGGCTACATAATGATAGTATCATAATAAAAACAACAAAAAATGTAAATCAACGAAAAATATTAAATCCAAGATCGTTATTTTGCAAACAGCAAACTCGATAAAATAGGAATTTAAAACTTGAAATGAATCTGTCATCGTAGAATACTTTTTTCGTTACATTATCATTGCAAATTCATCTTTTATTCAAACTCATCAAAATACTAATTATTTTTATGAATAATATCTCGATTTCTACTTTAATTTCCGTTGTCGAATGATTAGAGAATTTTCGTTGAAATGGGATTTAAATTACTCTTTGTCGTGCATTCATATGATTGCGCTTATCTAGATCTCTTTTCAGCCAGGTTTTTGTATTAAAATCCTCTACCTAGTCATACTCTTATCAAAAGTTTATTATAGCTCAAGACCCAACCGCCTTATTCGTAATTGACTTTATCAGATTTCATTCTAAATAATTTAAGTAGGAATTGTAATGCGACCTGTGGAAATACCTGACCTATACTGCTTTATGAATTCACGTCCAGGAAAACATTTTTTAATAATAAAATTTTTAATGACTTTAGACCTTCAATTACTCTCAACTCGACTAAGTTAATAAAATACCTTGAAATAATCTTAAACAGGTTTAATGTAATTTAGTAAAGCAATCCATATTCAGAAGCCAGATCATTAGCTATGCAATTGTAGTTTTAATTAGTTTCAAAGTTTAAACTAAAAGTCCACATTTGCTACTGCAGAATGAACACTTATGTATATACATTTATTTTAAATAAATGTTTTGTTTTGAACCCGAAATTTTATAAACATTTAAAACATTTAAAGTACGTTGTAATATTATGTGATTGAATAAATAATAAAACTGAGGCTAAAAGTCGGTTATTTATAAAATTTTCATATCTATGATACAAAAGTAATTAGTCAAATCAAACAAAAATATATAAAAAAAAAAATTATATCGCAAGCAATAAAGTACTTTAAAACGTTAGTTTTCTAAAATTGTTTTACCACACCCTGGACATTTCATATAAAATTACGTGCATGGCTTGCGTTACTATATAAGCAGATGATCTCCTAATATTAATACGTAAATATATAAGTATTTACAAAACGCGGTGAATTATTTTTTCCAATAGTCATATTTAAATTATAAACAGAAAGAGAGAGAGACACACACATACAGTGTCAACTTTATAGAAAGGTAGGATATGGTTATATTATATAGAATACTAGCTGACTCGGTAAACATTGTTTTACCATATACATTATTTCGAGAACTATACATGAAAATATATCGTACTGCAATAATTATATTCGATTGTATCTTGCAACCCTATTGCGACATATGAAAATTGCGATTAAACAACAAGGGTTGATAGTAAAAGCGTAAGAATTTGAATTTGTGTGTATTTTTCAATGCTAAATCATAATAAAATAAAAATGTAAGAATTTGTCAAAAAAAATTTTTTTTTGAGAGGGTCATCCTTATCATTGAGGAGTATGAAAAATAGATGTTGGCCGATTCTCAGACCTACCCGATATGCACACAAAATTTCATAAAAATCGGTAAAGCCGTTTCGGAGGAGTTTGGTAACAAACACCGTGACACGAGAATTTTATATATTAGATTATCAATGTGATTTTAACATTTTCAGATTACAACATTAGATAATTTATTATCTAAAAATAAGTAAAAAATTAAATAAATACAAATAGCCTAATTTTTAGTAAATCCTTTTTCCCCGAAAGGTTCGTTAAACTGTATTAGAGTGATAGAATACTGCAATTAAATAAAATAAATTTTATGTAATCAATTGCATTAAACGTAGCAACGTTAACAATAACCAGATCTGAGTTTTAATACCTTACTCTGTGTATTCGCTATTCAGACTGCGCTAGAATTAAATAAATCATCAGTGATTTAATAAATCATTATGATCATTAATTTCAGCATGATAAAGAGTATTTACATGATTAATGGAGCTATGACAATTGCGGGTAATTGCGATATTAAGTATAGAATAATATACCTACTTTCAAGTATGTCGTTCAAGACTATGTATCTACTCGTATATGAAATACTAAAATGCTCAAAATAAATATTTTATTTATCTTATATGATTGACTGATACTGTGGGATGCAAAGTAAATCGATAATGAGCTCGCTAGTAAGGACATTTTCACAGATGTGCCTTATGTAATCTGTGATAATATTAGGCATTAATTACACTTTAAAAAACATACCTACAGTTAGTGAACAACATAACAAAATTCGCAAAATAAAAAAATAATAAATGAAAATAAATTTTCCGCAATGTGATCCCGGCATAGAATGAATCACCTCTTTATTTCCCGTGGGTATCGTAAGAGGCGATTAAAGAACTTAACGGTTGAGGGATGGGCAGCAACCACATCACCAAAACCAAACCGCAGTTGCCAGCCTACCTGTCAAGCGTGGCAACTTCTGGCAAAAAGAAAGGCAGGCCTATGTTCAGCGGTACACAGTCACGCTTGATATTGTTATATCGATAGATAGCTATTTCACGATTAATATATATATAGTAATAATATAGTACAATTGTAATATTTAAGACCTTTATTGATATATACGCGATGTCTGCGAATACGAATATAATTTGAATAATATGAAAATATTTGATGCATATATTTATGAAAGGTCAAGTACGCAGTCGACATTAGGTTGTCGTTTCATATAAAGGAAATCTAAAAGACATTAGTGTTGTGAATACGAAGTTTCGAATACGTCCATATTATTTGGATATTTCGGCAAAATTATTATTAGATATTGATATATTTTAGGATCATGAATATTCATTGTGATAATTAATATAACATTTGGAAGTTATTTATTTGGTTACTAGTGATCCGGCTCGGTTTCGCAAGGGTATA